GCACACTGTATTTGGGGAAACGCGCACACAAGGCGGTGGCTGGACCGTAGTCCGCTCCACATTGAGTGCATAGAACCACTCTTCGAGGCTAACACGGCCACAAGGACCGTACACCCCGTCCCCTCCAGCAACGACCAACTGTCTCCTAGAGCCAGTATGGACGAGTTAGTGGGTAATAGACAGGTAGGCACCTTGTCAACATGCACATCAAGCGCAGCCACACTGGGGATATCAAGCAACAGCCAATCACTTGAGAGAAAGCTAACAAAGAAAATAAATCGAGTAATGCATAAGGAAACGTGACGAAAATCTTAACTTAATGAGCATATGAAATAAATTGTCAACAAAGGATCTGAGATAGGTTCAGGGGGTCAGAAAGTGTATTTTACGGAAATGACAAACACGAAAATGTTATCGAAATTAACTACAGTTGGCTTAAGCGAGTTGTGCAGGTTTATAGAAGAGCGTACAGGTGGACGTTTATTTGAGAAAGAAAAGCATTAGGATAAAATTGAAAACCCACTACCTGAAATAAATAAACTTGGCATGCAAGCACGCGGTTAGTAAATCAAATGCAACGTACCTACAAACGCTGCGCTGATTCTGCCTACGCTCTCTGCAGGACCCGTCGTCGCTTCGGTAGTGGTCCCGAGTGGCCTCGCTCATGGCTCACTAAGCCTGCCTGACTCAGGCACTCGCGACCGCATGTGCTACAGCACCATGCACTTGATGTCGAGGGATAACAACCCATCGGTGCTTGCCGCTTCTCTGCATGCATGAGGGCTTTCTCCTGCACCTCGGCCACTGCCTTCGTGATCAGATCGCGCCATGCACGCTGTTCAATCGCCTTCGATTCCCATGACCTGCAATCAAGATTAGAACGTGAGAGGCTCACTTTAATCATGTCCTGGTACAGTAATTTTGGTTTCCCCACGTGCCGCTTCCCTATACTCAGCTGACCATATATGAGTTGCTTCGGTATCCGCGTTGAATCCATACGGCTCACATGACCTATCCACCTCAGGTGTCTCAGTAAAAGTATGCAGTCCACTGCATACATTCCACTACGGCGCAACACTTCCGTGTCTGCAACTTTGTCGCCCCAACCGATGCGCAAAATCTGTCGCAAGCACTGCTGATGGAACGGCTCGAGATATCGCACATCCCGAAGCTACATCGTCTATGTTTGACTGCCGTACAGAAGAACGGACAGCACCATGGATTTGTACACCATCAGCTTCATGCCAATGATAAGCTGATGATTGTTCCACACTCGGTACTCAAGCTCTCCGAATGCCGCCGCTGCCTTCGACACGCGGATACGAAGCTCACTGTGTAACTGCTGATCAGTCGACATCACACTCCCAAGGTAGCAGAAGTGGGAGGTGGTTTCCAATACTTCAGCACCAATGCTGATTCGCGGCAAGATTGAAGATCGCACCTCCGGTGAAGGCTGAAAGAGACAGACAGTTTTGCTTGTGTTGAGGTGAGCCCGAATTTGGCCGCTGCCGAAGCCAGAGCACTAGTCATATGCTGCAACTCATCCGCGCTGTGTGAAAACAACGCACAGTCGTCAGCAAACAGCAACATACGGATAGTTGTCTCACAGACTAGAGTTCTCGCACCGAAACGACGGATGTTCAGCAACCCACCATCAATACGGTGCTCCACGCGAATACCGTAAGCACAAGCGGCATCAAAAGCACAGGACAACATTGCATGAAGATATATATTAAACAGGGCAGGAGCTAAGACACAGCCTTGCTTCACACCAGTGACAACTGCAAAGTCATCCAAGGTCTCTCCACTCAGCTGCAACCTCGCTCGCATACCACTGTGCAGACATTCAATTGAATTTAAAAACTTACGCGGACAACCAAACTTACCCAACACCGTACCTAATGCCTTGGTGAAATCAACAAAAAGCGAGGACAAAGGCTGGTGTCGTTCTCTGCACTTCTCGTGCAACTGACGAGCCGAAAGCACCATATCTATAGTGCTGCGACCCGAGCGGAATCCACATTGCTCTTGCACCACGTTCGGTTCCACAACCTGACTGACGAGGCGGTTGAGCAGGATTCGGGCAATCACCTTGCCCACACAACTCAACAAGTTGAAGCCACGATAATTCGTGCAACATTGCTTGCTCCCTTTACTCTTGTACAGTGGTAGCACAAGGGCATCCTTCAGCTCAGGAGGCACCTCCTCAATCCATATACGTTGCACCAAGTGGTGCAGCGCAGTCAACAACGCGGGTCCGCCGTGTTTCAATACTTCAGGCGGGATCCCGTCAGCTTTGGCACATTTGCCGTTTCGCAGCTGAGCAAGTGCTCTCTGCGTCTCATCCAGTGTCGGTGTGTCCGCCAGACTCGTCTTCACATCTTGCTGCTTCAGGCCGTTCAATGTAGGCCAGTCGATCTCTGAACGGTTTTTCAAGAGACAGTCAAAGTGTTTTCGCCAGATCTGCATTATGTCTGCAGTCTGTGTGCAGGTAGCGCCTGAACTACCATCGATCAGCGTCCTAAGCAGCTCCAATCTCGGTCCACACACCGCCTTCAAATAGTCAAAGAATTCATGGTGTTGGCTGCGTTCGGCGTAGCATTCCATCTGCTTCGCCTTCTCCGTCCACCATGCATTTTAATGCGACGGAGCTCTCGGGTCAGTCGCCGTCGAAGTTTGCGAAACTGACTCTTCTTCACCAAGTCACCGGGGTCTGCGACATGTGCAGCAAATGCTGCATTCTTCTCCAACACCAATGCGCTAATCGTCGCATTGTTGTCATCAAACCAATCAGGCCGCTTACAGTTTGCGCGCCCGATGGTCTCCTCGGCAGCAGCTGTCACCTGGTCGCGAATGTGGTGCCACAGGTCGCCCACTGTGACTATGCAGTCCACATCACCACACAGGCGTGCAGCCATCGCCTTCTCCAGCTCAGTACGTTTCGCCACAGTACCGACGGGGAGAATGTTAAATTTACGCCGATTCACGGCGGGAGTGTAATATATAGGTTTACGAAAATATATGTACAGTGTGGTCCGAACCAATTTGTGATCAGTGCCACACTCAGCTCCACGCAGTACACGTGTCATGCACACTTCACGCATATCACGCCGACGTACGATGACATAGTCGAGCAGGTGAGCGTGGCCACTCCGTGGGTGCGTCCAAGTTGCTATATCACTCGCACACAGTGTAAACCGAGTGTTCGTGATCTTCAGGCCGTGAGTAGCACACAGTGAGAGCAGCCTATCACCGTTCGCATTCGCTGAACCAATGTCATGCGGACCGTTGACATCTGTCCATGCTGATGCATCACGCCCAACGCGCGCGTTGAAATCACCCAGCAGAAATAGTCGGTCGCTCCTCGGCACAGACAGTATCACGGAGGATAGCTGAGTGTAGAATTGATCACGGGAGTCATCAGGATAACACATGGCCGAACCGTACGTGCTTATAAAAGCGGCAAGCCTATCTCTCCTGAGTCGTAGGCGAACAGTCATCAGTCGCGCGCTGATGCCTGTTGGTTCACCCACCAAGTGGCCATGGTGGCGATCGGATATTGCAAATCCGACCCCATGGTCACGTGGTGCGGCGTTGCCCACCCGGTAGAATGTGTAGCCAGCACCTGCTTCATGCAACTTACCTTGCTCAGCGAGCCGAGTTTCACTGAGCGCCGCAATATCGATATGGTAGCGCGCCAGTTCCATCGCGACCAGTGCAGTGCGTCGCTCCGGGCGCTCACTGGAGTTCCGGTCCAATAGTGTGCGCACGTCCAGCACCCGATGTTGAGTGCTTTGCGCGCAGGCATACGATTGTATTGGTGGGCAATCGCACGCGAGATGGTCGTTGTGCTTCGGAGGTTTGCTTGGGGGACTCCACCCGGAGCCTTTGGCTCGATAGCCTGATCCACAAGGCAGTGGGTGATTTGGAAGTTTGCTTGACGGACTCTGCCCAAAGTCTTTGGCTGGATAGCCTGACGCACAAGGCAGTGGGTGTTTTGGAGGTTTGCTTGAGGGACTCCGCCCGGAGCCTTTGGCTTAATAGTCTGACCCTCAATGCAGTGGGGAGCAGATCCAGCTCGGGAATGTGATTGCAGAGACAGATTGGGATCTACTTGACGGCTGTTACACGCAGCCTTGGAGGTACTGGAACGGTATATATGTTTTGCGACCGTTATAGGATACACCTGCGACCACGGCCAGACGCAGGTGGGTTTTGGCGGGTTTGCACCAATTTGACCAGAGGCTACCTGGCTTGAGGCGGGCAGTAGCAAACCATTTAACACCCGGAAGAGCCATCCCACCGCCAGAGACAATGCGTGACGCTCGTGCTCTATGCCAATCGAGCTGTGAGTTTATAACCCGTAGACCTGTTGTCTCCCATGGCTAGGTTTTACGGGAGGAGGGCCATCGACCACTTCCTAACCTTCGAAGAGGATGGACTAGGATACTGGCAGAGCGCCCACTTCTGACAGTAGAACGACTCTGGTCCTCAGCCAAAGCCTTCGATTAAATGAACACCCGAAAGGCAGCGGGTCTAGCACATGGTCAGTTCATTGACTCATGCGGATTGGTGTCCTGGATCATAGCAGGGAGAAGGGCGAAACCCAACTCCCACCCAGCGGTCTCCACGAGGAGGCGCCCAGGACATGAGCAAATGGCACAACAGTAGCAACAGTGGGTAGACCATTTGTCAGGATCTAGCCACCACCAGCCTCAGCGCACCATAGGCCATCCATTAGTAGCGTTTTAAACGGACGATTCCAGGTGGCCAAACTTAACTTCTCCCCTCACCTGATGGGATATTACCTTCCACTTTAAATTTCCATTCTACCTTTTTTTTGCCCATCGACGTTTCCGTTTATTGAACTACTGTTCTCTTCTTCCTCTCCTGATTTCCCCTGCTTCTTGTTATTCCGCATAATCGACACCGCATATACTCTTTCATTGTAATGTGGAGTGTTGGTTTTCCATCTTGACTGACTCATATCTTTCGTTTTAGGTTTACCAAAACTTGGACGGATCTTTTCGACAGTCCATTTGAACATTCCCACTTGTGTCGACTTCACAGTACGTTTTCACCAATGATTATTGAAGCGAAATATGCTACGTTGTGGATAGGCAATACCCCATGCACACATATGCACTAACTTTACGTAAATATGAGGTGTGTCATATAACTTTTCTTCCCTTTCAGTAAACCATGCTCGGGTCAACTAGTTTCATCCGTAAGTTTCCGTTGTTTTATTTTCCTTTATTACTTAAGGCTCCTGCCGCACATTTACATGGTTCACTGCTTTGTCTCGCAAGTTTTCTACTGAGTGCCACACTACTCTCCCTAACCCTGAAAGTTCCTCTCTAATCCAGGTTGCTAAGCACGTATCAGCTCCAACAATGTAACTTTCCTTATCTTTGTTCATCTTTCTTACAGCTTGGGGCATCACATAGTGACGGAAGAATGTCTTACTTCTTTAGCAGGAGATAAGCCTTTCTACCAACTTCCTGTGCTTCATGTCCTTGCGAAAAAGAACAACATGTTCGTTACGTTAACAGATTGCAACGGAAGGATCCTCATTAGATCGAGCTGTGGAGCAGAAGGGTTCCGCAATGCTCGCAAAAGGACCACAGTCGCTGCCCAAACTCTCGGCATCTCCATTGGTTTGAAATCTGTAAAATTGGGAGTCACTTCGGTACGAGTCAGACTCCATGGAATAGGCCCTAATCGTTTGGTAGGTCCATTATTTCTCGGTAACCTGTCTTAGTCTGCTCTTTCAGGTGCTGCAATGTCTGGATTGCAGTTCGTTTCTCTGACCGATGATACGAATGTGCACTATGGACATGGAAGAAGACCTCCAAAACCTAAGAGCAAGTAGACTTTCTTTCACTGAACTTGTCCGCCGAGTTAATCGGCGTCTTTGTAACCATTTTATCACCCGATCTGACACTATCAATGTGCATTGACGTCGGTTCGATTGATGGTGAAACGTTTACTACCGAATTCTCTCCATCGGTAGCTAAACACATTTGTACTATACCTTGCACATTGTCTCTTGTTACTCCTTTTTGCGATAAATTCACTATTTCACCACTATTTTGTTGTTTCTTCTGCTATCCTAAAAGTTCTATTTGAGTGATGGGTACGAACTTAGGGTTTGAATATCGATATCCATTCATTTTTCTTTTCCTCTCTCGAGTGGCAGTAGCTCATGTATTTTAGGTTTTCAAACATCTGCGATGGCGATGCACGCAGCCATTGTTGAGTCCCTTCCCATCGTGATTTATACCAATAGCTGTCAACAGAAGGTTGATGCGAGTGTGGCATCACGAACAATGGAACTGTCAATGTTTACAGCGCCAATCCTCCAACTCACAAATTTTGGGGTTTAGCTGTTTGATTACTCATCTACTCAACTTGTTGTTACCCGGAATTTAGGAGCTGAAGTTCTCTTTTCGTAGCACTCGCCATGTTGCTGTTAGGTGTTTACTGTAGATGTTATATTAGTATCCTTCATTTAGCCAATCATTTGACTTTCTGCATAGTAGTTCCGCTCTCAGTTTAGTCAGACGTCCCATTTGCCCACAACCCCCTGAAACCCGTGAATAAGCAAGAAAGGAGATGGAGGGTTTCGGTGTTGCTCTCGCCCATCCGTGGAGTGCATGGATGAGAGAACAATACCGAAACCACCCACTTCGAAAACCGTCTCATTGACAAATAAATAAATGATATATTTCTCGCTATCGCGAGAAACTGATCCTAATCAGGGTCATATCCATTGTACAGACGTTTCGTTTTAAATAACTATGTCAAAGTGCAAAGTTAAGAGGATGGGACAGGATTGTCAAGGTAATGAAAGTGCAGTTATTCCTTTGCATTTTTCATGATATTCTGACTTGTATTTTACGCACAACTGATGCTGGTGGAGGTTTCAAATGCACTCATATTCCGTTCATTGCTTCCGGAGATGGATTTTCGTGGCAGAAATGACCGAAGTTAGCCGGAAAAGTAAAAATTATGGGTGAACAATGTATACCAATTTTCGGATAACTTTTTGGAATTTCAGAGAACAACCTCGGCTTTGCTTGGCATTCATCGCGCACTAAGAACTTGAAGTTTGACTACGAGAATATATTACATTACCACTATATGAACAACGTGATCAAATTAGACACACAGGTACTGGCGAAGATGACAAGTACAGGGAAACAGATAAGTCTGTGAACTGGGATCTATCTATATACATTCTCGTAATATATTAACAAGCATTATATATATATATATATATATATATATATATATATATATAATGATTAACGTCATCCGGTTCCGGATTTGCCTATCACTACGGCCTCAACGGGGACAACCATAGGACACCTATGCCTACGGAGCGACCATGGGTGGCCTGCACTGCACCACCCACAGCTCCATTCACACACTCCATATCAAGTGTAAACCCGAAGGAATAAGACCGGGAGGCATGTGGATGGGAGCCACGTTTCATCAAGGGAGCCAGCCCACACTTCTTCACAGTCAAACACAAGCACGCTGTATTTGGGGAAACGCGCACACAAGGCGGTGGCTGAACTGTAGTCCGCTCCACACTGAGTGCATGGAACCACTCTTCGAGCCTAGCACGGCCACAAGGACCGTGCCCTCCTTCCTCTCCAGCAACGACCATCTGTCTCCTTGAGCCAATATAGGCGAGGTAGTGGGTGATAGGTAGGTAGGCACCTTGTCAGCATGCACATAAGGCGCAGCCACACCGGGGATGTCAAGCAACAGCCAATCATTCGAAATGAAAATATCAAATAAAATATGTCGAATACTACATACGAGTATGAGCATATGGAATAACCTGGTAATCAACAAATCCGCGATAAGTACAATAAGTCAGAAAGATACTTAAGAATACCGCATTTGCAAGAGTTGACGAGGTTAGCCACAATTCGCTTAAGCGACCTGTGCGAGTTAATCCAAGACTATTCAGCTGGGCACTTTAATAAGATAATAAAATAAGCATTAAGACAAAATAGCAAACCAGCCACCTAACATAAACACTCAGCATGCAAGCACGCGGTTAGTTATCGTCATCATGAATACACGTTAGTTGCGAGCGAGAAACACCTCAGGTAATGTGCTTCAATACCAAGAGGTAAGATAGGAAAAGATTACACTACAAACAATTCAAAAACAGGTAATATAACATTAAATGTTATATTATGTAAATCATATGAGATCGGAATTGGAGCGGGAATCTAAAAGGGAGTGGGATGGGCAAAAAAACTCACAGCACACGCCGCGCGGTTACTAAATCGAATAGAAACGCATCCAGCGTACCTACCAACGCTGCCCCGGTTCTGCTTATCTTCACAGAAACACACGTCGTCGTTTAGCTACTGGTCCAAAGTGACCTTGATCGTGGCTCACTAGGCCTGCCTGACTAAAGTACTCCCGACCACACGTGCTACATCACCATGTGCTCGATGTTGATGGAGTACGGCTTCATCGGCGTCTGCCGCTTCTTCGCGTGTACGAGGGATTTCTCCTGCACCTCGGCAACTGGTTTCGTGATCAGATCGCGCCATGCACACAAGCCAATTGCCTTCGATACCCAACACCCGAAATCAACAAAAATTCGTGATAAATTCAACATGATCACGTCAAAGTAACGTAACTTCCGTTTTCCAATGTGCCGCTTCCCTGCACGCAGTTGTCCATGAAGCAGCTGTTTCGGTATACCGGTCGAATCCATGCGTGGAATATGCCCGAGCCACCTCAGGTCCCTCAGCAGAATTATGTACTCCAATGCGTCGGAGCACCTCCGTGTCTGCCATTCGGTCACTCCAGCCGATTCGCAGACATTCGTGATTGAAGGGCTCCAGATATCGGACATCCTCCCCATATAGCGTCCAGGCTTCGCTGCCATACAGTAGAATGGACAGACTAGATAGACTAGCATACTAGCAGCCGCGTCCCAACCAATCAACTGATGGTTGTTTCACACACGATATTCCAGCTTGACAAATGCATCAGCCACCTTCGATTCGCGGTTGCGCAGCTCACTCATCATCTTCAGGTCGATTTCTTATTATGTTCCCAGGGTAGCAACATCTCGGAATGGTTTCCAACACTTCGTCGGTGCCCTAGATCTGGGGCAGCCCACAGATCCCATTCAGGGTGAAGGCTGGAAAAGACAAACAGTCCTGCTTGTGTTGCAAGTGGCCGCTGTCGAAGCCAGAGCCGAAGTCATGTGCTGTTACTCAGTCGCGCTGTGCGCAAAAACAACGCACAGTCGACAACGAACAACAACATACGGAAAGTTGTCTCACGGTTTAGGGTTCTCGCACCGAAACGACGGATGCTCAGCAACCCACCATCAATACGGTGCTCCAAACGGACAATGTAATCATAAGCAGTATCAAAAGTACAATGACATCATAGCGTGAAGATACTTAATAAACAGGGCAAGAGCTAAGACAGTCTTACTGCACACCAGAGACAACTACCAAGTCTTCCGAGGTCTGTCCACTCAGCTGCAGCCTCGCCCGCATACCACTGTGCAGACATTCAAATAAAATATATAAATTTACTCAACCAAACTTACCCAACACCTGCCACAATGCCTCGCGGTTCACCGTATCAAATGCATTGGCGAAATCAACAAAAGCTAGTGCAAAGGCTGATGTCGTTCTCTACACTTCTGCAACTGACGAGCCGCAAACACCTTATCAATGGTGCTACGACCCGAACCGAATCCACAGTGCTCTTTCGCCACGTACGGTACCACAACCTGACTGACGACGCGCTTGAGCAGGATTCGGGCAGTCACATTGCCCACACAACTCAGCAACTTGATACCACGATACTTCGTGCTACACTGCTTGCTTCCTTTGCCTTTGTACAGTGGTAGCACAAGGGCATACTTCAGCTTAGGAGACACTTCCTCCTCAATCCACAACCCTTGCACCAAGTGGTGCAACGCAGTCATCAACACAGGTCCGCCGTGTCTCAATACTTCAGGCGGGATCCCGTCGGCCCCAGCACACTTGCAGTTTTGAAGTTGAACAAGTGCTCTCTGCGTCTCATTCATTGTCAGTGTGTCCACCAGATTCAACTTCACCTCGTGCTGTTTCACGCGGTTCAATGTAGGCCAGTCGATCTCTAAACGGTTGTTCAAGAGACAGTTAACGTGATTTCACCGCATCTGCATTATGTCTGCAGTCTGTGTGCATTCCGCGCCTGAACTACCATCGATGAGCGTCCTCAGCGGCTCTAACCTCGGTCCATTCATCGCCTTCACCAAGTTAAGAAATCCCTTGTGTTGGTGGCGTTCGAGGTATCATTTCATCTGCTTTGCCTTCTCCGTCCACCATGCATCTTTACTGCGACGGAGCTCTCGGGTCAGTGGTCTTCGAATTCGGCCAAACTTACTTTTCATCCCTAAATCACTGGGGTCTGCCACATGCGCAGCAAATGCTATATTTTTCTCACATACCAATGCGCCAATCGTTGCTTTGTTCTCATCAAATCAATCGGGTCGATTACAGTTCGCTCGCCCGATGGTCTCTTCTGCAGCAGTTGTTAACTGATAGCGCATGTGGTGCCACAGGTGTCCTACTGTGGCTATGGATTCCACATCACACAGGCACGCAGCCATCGCCTACTCCAGCTCCATCCACTTCTCCGCAGTACCTAGGGAATTAACTTTATAGTTCCGCCGATTCATGACAGGAGTGCTATACATTGATTCACGAATATATATGGTTGGCGGCATCCGGTTTCGGAATTGCCTGTCACTGTGGCAAGCCACAGGACGCCTGCGCCTACAGAGGGACCATGGGTGGCTTGCGCTGCACCACCCACAGCTCCAACCACACACCCCATATCCAGTGTAAATCCGAAGGAATAAGACCGGGAGGCTTGTGGATGGGAGCCACGTTTCATCAATGAAGCCGGCCCACACTCCTTCACAGGCAAACACATGCACACTGTATTTGAGGAATCAAGCGCACACAAGGCGGTGGCTGGACCGTAGTCCGCTCCACCCTGAGTGCATAGAACCACTCTTCGAGCCTAGCACGGTCACAAGGACCGTGCACCCCGTCCCCTCCAGCAACGACCAGCTGTCTCCTAGAGCCAGTATGGACGAGGTAGTGGGTAATAGACAGGTAGGCACCTTGTCAACATGCACATCAAGCGCAGCCAC